TAAAAAAGGACAATAGATGAACTTTGACCAATAATTTTTAGTTCGTCGACCAAGTCGACTTGGTCGACTTAGTCGATTAGCTGCATATCGGCTTATAACACTAAATTGGACAGGATCGGACTTCTAGCATATTAAACATATTAACATAACGATAATGCTCTCAATTTTGTGAGGGCACACTTGTTTATGTCAAATATTACGTAATCTAGATTACATAAGACTTTGTTTATATTAGTTTCATTTCCCTGCATATTATATTCATTCTTACTATAATCGCCATCTTGCATATTTTCGTATCAAACATGGAGGATATACATGAGAGCGAGGTATTTTTGGAGACAACATTCAGACCAAGGTATACGCCTTAACTAAACAATAATATTCAATTAATATAATTACTAAGTCATATTGTTTCAGAGATTGGATGATCCAAAAAATCGAATCAATGGTCGAAAAATTATTATCAAATATATCAAATGGAACTCCACCCATACTTCAAACTGTGTCAAATGTGAAAAGGAGAGAATGCCATACCGAGTATGATTAAAGAAATTTTTTAACATGTTTAGCCGGCATGTTGAATATTGATTGTGCAATACTATTGCGTAGATATGATATACAGAGTGGCACACTTCGAAGAAAAAATAATAATTTTAAAGATGTTTCGTTCTTAAAAAATCCGAGAGGATTCGCTATTATTATCCGAATACTTGATATATGCCATGAACTTCTTATCCAAGATGTGACGGCCACTAAAAGGTATAACATTGTGAATCGACAGCTTTAATCCGGCCATCCTAACATATTATACTCACATACATTAGAGACATATATTACAAAGATGTTCGATTATTCGGCAACCAACACACGGTCGATGCGGTATTTATTTGATCTAAGTTTTAAATGTTGTATCTCTACATTTTAACTTGCCATTTTTCTTAGGCAATAGATGAACTGGCTTGTCTTTTTCGTGTTCCACGGGCTTGTTTGAATGTGGTAAGAGTCTATAGATTGACATTGCCCAGTGTTGTACATTTTTGATGTCCAAGGTCTTTTCTGCCATGTCCAACGTTCAAATCCAAGAATGCCCGAGCGTGTTTACATTTTTATTAAGTTTAAAAACTTATAAAAATAAACATAATTATACGTAAATTACATTTTGCTTAGTTAAGCTGCCATAATAAAAGTTTGAGTATTAATATTTCTTTTTTAGTGTAACATTTCCACACTTTTGTCCATTGACAACGCTGAACTTTGCTAAGTATTGTTTGATTATAATTCACACATCTCAACTTTGCTTAACAGACAGCTTCAGCTAAAGGTTTGGTTGCTGGTGCCCTTAAAATTATTCAAAAAGACAAGACGATACTAGATTGCTTATCGATCAATAATCAAGTAAATACACTTTGTACATATGTTACGTTCGTCCTTGTTATATTTAAAAAATGATCGATTAATTATTTATAGGGGATTCTCATACCAACCGACCAGATTGATCATATCCTTTTTTTTTGTTTTTTTTTTAAAAAAAAAAAAAAAAAAAACTATCATTACCTTAAGTTGTCTGTATCATTATTATATTATCTTGACCGTTAATTAATAGACACGCGTAGAAACAAATGCCGAATTTGTTCTTATTGTTGAAAAAGAAGTAATGCATTTCGTCTACAGCGATTCTTTATTTTATTAAAAGTAAATTAATAACCAATTTCTCCGTAGGCTACGTTTCAATATTTACTATCTAGTAGAATATTTGAAAAATTGGGTCCTTGCATTATCATCACTGTGCGTAAAGTCGTATAATGATATTTTAGTAAATAACTAATGCTAATTTTGTATTTGATACGTAGGGTAAAGGATATCCGGTTCGTATTTATTATTGTGTACCATAATTAACAAGGTTTAAGATAAATTTATGACTATTCCTATAGGATGTTGCTACTCGCCAACTAGTTAAAATACTCGGAGATTTGCGCCGCAACAATGATCAAATAAATTCATTCAAAACTATTCCAATCCTTGGATTTTTCGATAATGATCCGTATGGTGAATAGCTTTACTTAATTATAGTTTGTATTTACGTTAATTAATATCTTTGTTTTTCGAAATAAGGGATCGAAATTCTCAGCGTTTACAAATTTGGATCGACGGTAAATTTGTCTAAAACATGTTAAATGATTTGGAGTGAATTACAATAAATTACTA